CAAATTATATATCATTAGGATATCAACTTTCGTGACCCACACGAGAAATCGATAAAACACCAAACAAACCGAAAGAATGAAAAAAGCAACCCGTATTTCCGTTAATCACACAAAAGAAGGATTAATTAATGGACTATCTGTTGACACCTGTGATAATCCAGTGAGTAACACGATCAAAGATTTCCTCAACTACCATTAATTACGGCCATCTATTTCCAGTTAGTTGGTTATTACAGCTACCTCTTTTTTTTTTCGAATAACGTGAAATTTATGTCACTCACGTTCCACTAACATCTACAGAGGGGTAGAGGATATACGAGATCGGCGTGCCGTGCGAATATTAAACTCGACCTATCATCGCATGCTGGCGCAGTGGACACTCCGCCGGAGTCGCTCGGACTCCGGGTTCGGCCCTATTTAATAAACACTCCGGAATGGTGTCGGAGATATTGCGTGAAAATTGGCGAGAACACATTAGCTTTACGGACCACGTGAAATTTCCATTTCAATTTGCACGTGTTATGAGACACGAGCCTGCACCGGTGTACACGTCGAAGGAAATGCAGGCTAGATCTAATTATTTCACCGGACATTAGAGATGTCACGTAAATTATTATGCAAAATGCAACATAGATACAAATACTAAACATTTAAACAATACTAAAGCGTATACACTGTTGGAAAATTATTCGCGCATAAGAGGGAAATCAATGTTAAATTCTTAGCCGGCTGAAATTCGGTCTACCAGTGTACATTTCAATAGAACGTCGCGATTAATTCTAATAAATTTAATTGTTCTACTGGACTTCACACCGCGATTTGGATCGGTTAGATTAAAAATCAAATAATTTCGACACTTCGACAGTATCAAAACGGGTTAAGATGGGTGAACGTCGAGTCGAATAAAAGGAAATGAGAATTTTTAAACGATAATTTATTGAAAAAATATCACTAATATTAAAATAGAATTATGTAGATATGTCTTTTTGCCACAATGGCTTAAAAAAGAAAGTAAATTCTAAGAAAATAATAAAAAGAAAACCCCAAAAATAAACTTAAAGATTATTTTAAAACAGAAAATAAAAGAACTTTAAAAAATAGTCCACCACTTTCTGCTTAACAATAGCCAAACCTGTCATACAGATGTCATCCCATATTACTAAGCTGAGGTATAATTCTATAGCAGAAAATTGAATTATTTTTCCCTTATTTCAAGAAAATTTGTTGCTCTTTCAAAACTCTACCTACCGATACATATATTTTTTTGAAATATTCCCAAAAAAATTAATTTAGTTTCTAAATAATTTTGTATCTCATACTTAGCGCAAATAACTTAGTACCTCTACAAATCGCGGCGTGCGGTCCAGTAGAACAATTAAATTTATTAGAATTGATCGCGACGTTCTATTGAAATGTATACTGGTAGACTGGATTTCAGCTGGCTAAGAATTTAACATTGATTTCCCTATTATGCGAAATTAAATTTCCAACGGTGTATGTAAATGTTAGACTATATTTACTTCAACATGTCGTATTAAAATGCTTTTGTAATTAACGTTTTTAAATAACTTTTAACAAAAACGAATAAACGAATTTTTACATAGAAACTCGAGCAATTTCGCACAACATATTTCGCATTAAAAGGACAGTAATTAAATTTCCCGTAATATCGTGGAACGAAGTGAGAAAATAATTATATTACTGAATGGGCTTTAATGCACAATTGCGGACCTATCAAAACTGAGTTGGCATTTCACGAACACTCGTTAGATTCAAAGGCGAAACGACACCGACGCCGACGGCGCGACGCTGGCGACGCTTCCCCTCGGTATAAAAGGTAGAGCGCGCGCGCATCCCTCAACTTCCTAAAAGTGTTTCATTCTTAATTGAAATTTTAATTAATTTAGAAATAACTAGGCGTATCTTGACGTTAATATACTGTCAGTGAAAGTGGAAATTAATTTTAATGAAATAACTATAAGTCAGTAATTGTACCTCAAATAATGAATTAATACAAAGTCATCATGTAAAGAAATATTTAACCAACCTAAAGTTTTGTTTGATTAACATTGTACGACTCTTTGTCTGGGATTTTATTTAATTCAAATTGCTCCCTTACATACATTAACCTGAATTTCAATACGAATTTATTGCGGTGTTGTAATTACCTAGACCTTTCCTACCCTAAAAGCGAATTACATGGGTGCGTGGTCAAGTAAGTAATTTGTTCCAAAAAGAGAAATATAGTACATCAGAATATAGCGAAATTCTGCATGAACGAATTAACAGACTATTTTTACAACGATATAAAATGATAATGATTATAATAAAATGATTGTTACTTACAATTAGAAAATTTAAGAACGTTTAATATACAGGGTGTTTCACAACTTATCCGATAAATTCTAACCACACTACACAATTCTAACCTTCTCTGCTTTGAAGGAAGTTGATTTCTCAAAAAAAATGTAATAAAAATCCTACAAAAATCAATTATAAACCCTAGTTTCAATAATAAATTGAAAAACAAATATCTGCATTTTGCGTTCATAATTTTGCCTTAATACTTTACTGTAACAAACATCGTACCAAAACAATGGTTAAAACAAAAAACAAGCACCCAAGCTTGCACTGCAGTAAATGGGAACAATTTTGAACCTCTTGTATAAGTAATTGAACTGTTAAAGTTATTTTATTATCTCGATTTCTGTAAAACTTTTATTACATTTTTTTGGGAAATCAACTTCTCTCGTAACAGTGCATATGTAGTTAAAATTTGTCGGATAAGTTGTGAAACACCCTGTATTTCAACATCAATTTTAATAAAGATATTTTGACACCTTTATAACGTTTAACTAGAATATTGAAACTATAAGAGAAAAGATGAAACATCTCATCGGTTTCTCTGATCTTTTGCGGCGAGAGAACAAAAGTAAAATATCAAAAGTTGGTAAGGAAACGTCAAACTCAGTCGTTTCCGCCAGAGTGATTTCTTCTCTCGATTGGGCGGACACGACTATACTTTTTGCCTACGCCAAAGTAGCCCGTCTTCGTTGGTGAAAAAACTTCGACGACAAAGATGAGAGAAGTTTCGGGGAAAGTTAGCCGAGAACAAACCGCCTCTCGATTTGTGCGACAAACAACATTGCTTAAAAGCAAAGTTACTGTCCGAAAACATATCGTCAATCATATTGTATCCACATGAGCTACCTGCTTTATACATACATACATTACTTGCTATACCTACTTAGAAGTGAAAGGATGAGAAACTGAGATGAAACGATAGGAAATGTCTACCGGCGATGGAGTTTCTTGTGTGATCAAAATTTTACCACTTACAAAGAGACTACACAAATATTGGTGAAGCGTGAAAGTTAGTTCAAAAGAATATTTCGTAGAAACATTTAAGGTAAGCAGGGAAGCGAAAGCCCAAACACTTTCGAAATGCCGAAGGAAGAAGGAACCAAGCAATTTCATAACTTTCTCATTAACAGTAGAGCACTTAGAAACTCATACACAATTTTAATTATAAATAAATCGGAAATTAGGGTAAAAATGTTCTTAGCGAACGATGTGTATATTGATTAGCTGCTTCTGAATTCGTTCGAATTCGAGCACACAAGTTCATTTCGAAGAAACTTTGATAACTGAAGAATCTCCCAAGTTTTCCAATTTATGGTTGGCGAAACGTTTTTCGACAGAATCGGTAAAATAGCACTCCGAATACTTTAAAAATAATCCGCTCCAGATCATTCACACTTTTTGAATGTTTCCAGTAAATTTAACCTATCATTCATCGCATTTTAAAACCTCCTTTAAAATTTAATAGATTGAAAAATTCGCAGATACCATTTAATATTTATCTACCATTTTATGTCTACAATACATTAGACATAAACTTTCAAGTTTCAAGAATTGAATAACTTGAATTATCCTTGTGCCAGTCTGACTAAAGTTAACGTCAAAAACAATAATTTCGTTTATTTATGTTAGACTCAATACCGCCGTAGAATTCTGGAAGCGAGCGTAATAAATTTAACCCGAATTATATATCGTCTTACCTATAAGTGTCAGTATTATGTGACCCAGTCACGATACATGAATAGGGGCAAAATGTGAGCAGCTTCGTACGAAATTATTCCATTATACGTTCGACACAAAAGATCAAGAAACATACATCTCATAACTCTCTCGTATGCGAGAACTTGTATAGTACAAAAGGACGTCCCGGTTAAGGAAGTTGACAAAACCAAACGCGTCGGGCTCTATTTTCAATATTTGGGCAAACGGGAACGGGGGGCCTTTTAAGCATTTTAGTTAATAAAAAATGGCAATCACGAAATCGATCTGTCCGAAAAACGCAGCTGGATTTAACAGAGAGAATGATTCGGGAGAGGAGTTAAATCCGGGCTGGTCAATTGAAGTTTAATTTTAAAAACAGTTTTTCGTTTATTATGTTGGCATTAACTTTGAAATTATGTACTTACGAAATTAAATGTCAAATGTTATTTTTAATACAGTATGTAGTGTATGCTAAAATTAAAATTGAATTTTTGCTGAAAAATAAATAAATATTTTATCAAAATGTGGCACATGTTATCTTCAAAACTCAATACACTAGTCAAAATCAATATATTTTTTGTTTTAATGAATGCTTTTAAACCAACTGAATTAAATTCCCTATATTATTATTTTTATACTCTAGTAGTTAATTAATGGAGAATCACAATTAACCTAATCAATTTGTAATTATTATACCGACAATAACAGAGAGATAGCGACGGGCTTTGATTCTCTCTAGCATAATTAAAACAACTTTCAATTAAGACTGATTAATTAATTAATTATTGTTAGTAACACAAGAAACGGACTTCATTACTTTAACCAATGTGATTCAAATACATAAATATATTTAGTGAAATATTTATACAGTTTGCAAAGAAAAATAAGACAATTTTTTATGAAAAAAAAAATATGTACTTTATATAAGTTTTACTCACCATTATTTCATATTTTAATATTCTTGTGGCATTGGACGAGGAAAAACCCTAATTGAAAAAAACCCATCAAAGTACGACCAACGCATGAAACATTCATGTCCAACTCGAAACCACAAAACTGCACTTAAACTTTCCGAGCGATACCTATTTTCCCAGTCCTAGGGGAACGTGTCCAACCGGAACATATCGAGTAACTGTCCATCGCAGGATGATTATTCACATCATTTTCCTCTACAAAGCTATCGGGGGCTAAACTACAGCAACTGGGCTATTTACGAATGAACGAGGAATAACCAGCAAACGGAGAGCCGGAGTGTAAATCCAAGCACGAACAGGTCGAGTCCCCCACTAGTCGCCGACACGGCTGGATTTCGGAGCTCGAGCAATTCTAGGCGACCGCGCAACCTACAAGGATATTTGAGCAGCAGGAATGAGTGGGCCAGGACAGGGCTCATAAGAAAATGCGATAGCGATTTCACCCCAATGTGCACGCATTAATCGCCTTGCCCCTGTATTTAATTTCGAATCATGCCAGATCTGGATCATTACTTTCCCAAATGGTACTGGAAGATTGCGTTCATGGTTAAGATATTTTATATTGGATATAACAAACGAAAAGGTCTCAAGCAGTAAATACTTAGTTGTAAAAGTAATTTGATTAATCAATTTCATTTTAAATGAATAGTAGAATTTTCCGTTTTTAATCTAGTTGTTTTGAGTCGCAATCGGAAAACCAACGGACCCTTCTCTCTAACCATATCAGTTAGAGCAGTTCCCGGTCTCCGAAATTCAGCTAAATCGACGAAATTAGAGATGCACCCACGGAAATAGGGAAATCCGAATAACTAGGGAAAATCGTGCGGAAGCGCGGATTTTCCGCCTATTTTTTGCGAGATGATTTCGGGAAATGAATGATAAAATCGATTCGCGGGGGGCCGAAGGTGTCTCTTGTCGCAGATATGGAAACACGTTCTATTAACATTGTTATTCAAACATGGGAATTTGTAATCGGAACATTATTCGAAAAACGGGGATATGTGTTACTGGGAAATACGCACGTGCTGGAGCGGATTAATGCGCATGCGCTACGTTAGTAGGTAGGGCGTTCAGGATGCAGGGCCGTAATTAGATGCTGTTTTCATATTTCCTTATAAGGATCAAGTCGCTTATAAACCAGTGAAAATTAATCAAAGAACTCCATTGATCGAAGAAATATAATCACGGTATTATTCATTAAATAAAAAATAATTATCATAATATTAGCGGTCTACCTACATACAGTGTGTGTCACTATGAGGGCCCATTAGAAGTATATGGAAAAGTAGTTGTAATTAAAATTTGAAAATATGTGTGCAAGTATTAGTCGATGCGCTCTATTCAATGAAAATATTTTCAACTTTTTTTTACTTCCGGTTATACCGGAAATGAACAGTAACTTTGTTATTTTAAATGGAACACCCCATATATTAATATATTTTAGAAATGTACGCAAAATTTAGAGTGCTTTTGTCTAAAAAACTTTTTTCAAAAATGCATACTTTTTGAGTTACTAATTTTTTTTGAAAAATTTGACCTATGCAGACCTTTATAAATTATTTTTTTACGGGGATCCCTTTAAAGATATGGATACGGTTTCTGTAAGGTGGCCACTAGCAAGGTCAAAGGTATTTGAATCTGTGTTAAAAAACTTTTTATTTTATACAGGGTGTATACAAAACATGTGGAAAGTTGAACTTTAAAAATACCAAATTATTTCATTTTTTTAAATGGAACCACCCATTTTTATCTATTTTATTGAAATCAGCGGTAAAAAATTAGGGAAGTTCATGTTTACTTCCCTATACCTAAACCTAATAGTCTTAAAGATATTGAATATTTTACATAAATCTTGCTTCATACATAATATAAAACTAATAAAATCTTTTCGTTTGCCCAATTACCCACATATGATGTTAAATAAATAATAAATTATCAGTATTTTTTTTGCTTAATAAAAGGTCATTTTGTACAAATAAATTTGGGTAGACCGCATACTAAACCAGATGGGGTAGGGTGTAGGGTAGACCGCATACTAGACCGGCATCCACAAGAGTATTCACATCTATTGGCTTGAATCAACATTAATTATTAATGGAGTTTATGAAATGTTGTCCGTAATAGCAGCCCATTATGCACTTAAAAATACAGGGTGTGTCACAACGAGCTTAAACTATCTGTATATTGGAAACTACTTATCCGATTTTAATAAAATTTTGTATACATATATGTTATGCAATAAGACGAACCTCTTAAAAATGTTTTGACAGTCGTATCACTTCCGGATTTACCGGAAGTAGGCATCAACTTTATTATTTTAAATGGAACACCCTGTATATTAATATATTTTTGAAATCTACGTAAAATTATAGGGTACTTTTGACTAAAACACTTTTTCCAAAAATGCATATTTTTTGAGTTAAAAAAATTTTTTTTTGAAAAATATGACCGATGCAGGCCTTTAAAAATTATTTTTTTACGGGGATCCCCTTAAAGATATGGAAACGGTTTCTGTAGGGAGGCTACTAGCAAGGTAATAGCTATTTGGATCTGTGTTAAAAAAAACTTTTTATTTTATACAGGGTTTGTATAAAAATTGTACAAAGTTGAACATCAAAAATATCAAATTTCTTTTTTTTTTTTTAAATGAACCACCTATTTTTTTAATTTTAATGAAATCAGCGGTCAAAAATAAGGGAAGTTCATGTTTACTTCCCTATACCTAAACCTTATAATTTTAAAGATATTAAAAATTTTACTTAAAACTTACTTTTCTGTCTTATTCTTAAATAACTCGGCTTTACAAGTTGGCCATGTAACATCGTACAAGTACCAAAATTAATAGTCAATTAATCAAGAATAATTTACATGCCAACTTTTAAAACGACTGTCAAAATATTTTTAAGAGGTTCGTTTTATTGCATAACACAATATGTATACAAAATTTTATTAAAATCGGACAAGTAGTTTCCAATATACAGATAGTTTAAGCTCATCGTGACACACCCTGTATACTTAAACTACTTAAAAATATTTATATTAATTAACTCAAACGTCATTAAATAGTCAAAGCACGGCCAACTCATGCAATGGGTCAAAAAATGACCCGTTTTCTTTTCTAATTTTTTATTATATTTAATAAAAAACATCATAATTTACTCTCTTTTCCCCTTTTGATTTATAACATACCTCTATTAGTACGGCTATTCAGCTCTAATTTAACCGAATAGCTGCATAGATGCAGGCCTATAAAATAAGAGAATATATGATTGACGTTTGAGACAATTGATGGATGTCAAAAAAACTTGACAATTTCTTTGTTTACAACAAAATGTAGATTAAGTAGAACGAAGGTCACATAAGATTTTTGTAATGTTATTAGTCATGTCAGATCCAATAAATATTGATAACCAGCATATCAACTCCAGTCCTGGCTCGAATTCGTCTTATCCAGACGACGAATTTCTACCTACCAGTTTAGCTTCCGAAGAACTAAAGTTGGCATTAAATAAAGTATTGAATTTTTTGTCCTATTATCCAACACTTCTTTTTATTCAACCATTTTTAGGAAGCCACAGAAGAAGATTTATTAAAGGCCATAAGTAGATGTAAAACGTTAATTTTGGAATGCGACCAGTGTTCAAACGAAAGAAAGTGGGTTGTTAGACAATTAATAGAATTAAGGCTGCGATTACAGGAGTGTAGAGACGCCATGAATGATCCACTGTATGTTGTAACTTAATTAATGATAATAACAAATTAATGTTCATATTTTAGACATCCAAGGAATCAAACGAACAAAGTCTGTAAAAGGGTTATTAAAGGCCACCATTTGAATTTGCAACCTCTACTTCGACACACCGTTTCGAAATATTGTGATCATTGTACCGGGACTATATGGTAAAACCTAAAAACTCTTAAATAGGCACTATTTGATGTTACTTTATGCAGGAGTATGGTACAAGCTTGGTACGAATGCGAAGATTGTGAATATTCTTGCCACCATAAATGTCTAGCTTCGGTGATGCGAGACTGTGCACACGTAATAGCAAGCGAAAAGGGTTCATTCGAGTACGAAATTTGCCCAGAACTGGGCCTTTCATCTCAAAACTACTCGTGTGCAGAGTGCAAAAGTCCACTACCCATAAGTGAGTATTAAAAACAATTTTATACTGTTCGATTAAACCATGGTCGTATATTTCTAAGGTCTGGAAACATAGGTCGAAAGAGTGTCCCGTTATTTGAGGATAAAATAGGGTTCCTAAAACGGAAGCTAGGAGGCGATGTTGTAAAGGTTGCGGTTTTTTGGGTACGAATTAACATTAAAAAAGGTTTACTTAAATAACAATAATAATAATTAAATCAGTGATGATTTTGTTGTTAACCTCATGCCTTACGTATATATCTCCATTTTCTTCTCTAAATGTAAAATTTGTCCTCCGATCGTTCGCCACGATGCGGCGCAAAAGTGAAGCTCAAAAAGTCTTCAAATAACGGGACATCTTCTTTAATGCATAAGTATAGGCTGTTTCCAGACCTTACAAATACACGACCGTGGATTAAACCAAAGACTAGTTCGTGTTTTTGTCTTATTAGCTGCTCCAAAGGGGATAAGTTGTATCGGTAGATTCATTTTTCCAGGTAACATTAATTCGGCCTTTGCATGGCTTCCAAAACGCAACTACTGCACAAATTGATCTCTAATTTATTCACGCAACTAACTCGGCTTTAACATTTTCAGACAAAGTGTGGCCGGAAGCACGTCGTTGCGACTACACTGGACAGTATTACTGCGTGGCATGTCATTGGGGCAGTTCGGCCGTGATACCTGCTCGGGTTATCCACAATTGGGACCTGGAACCGCAGCCGGTGTCCCAAGCAGCGCTGCAATTGCTGAAAATAACGTCCAAAAGACCTATAATTAACTTAGCCATGTTAAATCCAAAGTTGTTTTCTTTGGTGAGCAAATTGGAGTTCGTCAGGAAATTAAGAGAAGAGTTGATCGGAATGAAGAAATACCTAATGGTCTGCAGGAAAGCCAATGAGGAACACTTCTTGTGGAAACACGTAGACACTCCTCATCTGTTAGATAATACAGACATGTACAGTCTACAAGACTTGGTCGACATACATTCCGGAGATTTGCCGTTTAAGTTGCAAACTATTTCGGATATATTTTCCAATCACATAAAAGTGGAATGTGAAATTTGTCGCGGGAGAGGTCACATTTGCGAAATTTGTTCAAACGATGAAATTGTGTATCCCTTCGACAATACTTCGTATACATGCCCTAAATGTTTCTGTGTACTTCACAGGTTTTGTTTGAGCAAGAGAAACAACGAATGTCCCAAGTGCGTTAGAATAAAGCAAAGAGAAGACGACGAAAAATTCAAAAATATTGTTGAATAATTTTAACAGTAGTTTTTACCATGACGATGCCAAATATATTTAATATACGTGTTATATTGAACGTGATTTAAAAAATAATTTTAATTTCCTGATAAGCTATTCATTGATTTTATTATGCATTCTTCGCGTTTTTATGCTTTTTTGTAGTTATTTCTAATCTATTGGATAAAATAACATATTTTACATATCAATTGGGCTGAAATATCGAAATTATAGAAAAAATGTTGTGGAAAAATTGTTGCATTATAAAAGATTCTAGGAAGTCAATTTACGTTTACTTCTGATTTTAAAATAATTTTTATGTTTCGCCTAATTTGACAAGATGTTTATGATTAGTGGTTGTGATAAATTATATTTTTGTTAATACCGACGATTTATTTTGTACTTCAATGAAACCCAAATAATTCCCAAGTCCATATCCGGAATATTTGTATGAAAAAAAAAATAGAAAAAAGTGGATATATTCCCTTATTTATTATGTTCCGGTAATTTTGTACTAATTAAATATTTCTAATTTACCCTTGCTCTGCTTGAGGTACAGCCAATGTTTCTTCCCCAAAAACCGGTTAATTATTTTAAAATTTGCTACTTATCTCTTCAGTTATCACTGTCTATAAGGAACAAGCAAATACAGGGTGGCCCAGAACTCACGCCCCACCGGGAAATGCCTTATGGAAACGACAATGGAGATGCCAAAACTGCAGTCGAAAACATAAAAAAGTTTTTCTTTTGGTAAATAAAGAAGTTCAAAATCGACCAATCCCAGTAGGAATTCAAATCCACGAAAATGACGTGAATTAGCTAATATATCAATTTGACATTATTGATATAGATTCTATTTCCTTTTCACTTTCGAGGTTAACAAAAGCTACCAAAATCAGCTGTAACTGTTGATCAAAGATTTGCTTCCAAATCGATCATTCAGGAGCTTCATCGTGCTGATATCAAACCTACAGAATGTTTTATAGCTTCAAAAGTGGTTCGAATCGAATGATCCATTTTTTGATCGATTTTAAAGCAAATTTTTGATCAATAATTACAGCTGATTTTGGCAACTTTTGTTAATCTTGAAAATGAAAATAACATAGAATCTTTCAATAATGTTAAATTGGTGTATAGCTAATTCACGTCATTTTCGTGGATTTGAATTCCTACTGGGATTGGTCGATTTTGAACTTCTTTATTTACCAAAAGAAAAACTTTTTTATGTTTTCGACTGCAGTTTTGGCATCTCCATTGTCGTTTCCATAAGGCATTTCCCGATGGGGCGTGAGTTCTGGGCCACCCTGTATAAAAGGTTTTTTACATGCTCAGATGTGGATTTACAATAAACTTTAAATTTCCAACTTGAATCTCCCAAACTGGCCTAATTTTGACCCAATTACACACCAACCCACGCTCCAAAAATCACCACGAAAAAAACAATTTAATCTACAATTCGAAAAAACGCAATTTCACCTTACAAAAATTACAAAACTCCGCCGTTTAAAGACAGAACGTGGCCGAATTCGAGCTGATAGCATCGTAAATAAAAGCATTGTCCAACGGTTTGTACTGGTGGGTGATCAATTTTATCGCTTCGTGGGCCGCGCATCCCCCCAAAACGGCCGACACAGAATGAATTTCCGCACCTCCATAACGGCACACTTCGTGCACCCTTTCGTCTCTCAACACCTGCGAACAGTTCCATTCGCAGAGCAACTTCCCGATGATGCTCTTCAACTTCAGCACGTCCGGTTCAACCTGCAATCGAGCACCACTTAAGCATGCATGATGATCTGCGGACCTATCGCTCGCCCCCTTTACTCTCGCTCCTTTTCAGCGAAGGAAAAAGGAAGGAGAATTGTGGTGGAGCGATAGGTCCTCCGAACTTCATACAATACTCAGCTTAAGCAATAAGATAGGGACATGGACCTATTAACTATGGACGCGGTTTAGACAAAGATGTAGAGTTGTCGATGAATGAGAGAGATGCAACTAGTTTGGGCATATGGCAATGAGAGATTGGACAATGCATTAGCCAATAGTAAGAAAGCAAAAGACCACGTGAGTTACGTTTTCAGATATGCAAGGTAGCTGGGGTAGAGGAGGGTAGCTTATGGTAGAATAGGGTTGAGGAGTGCAGCGGAGGGTATTGTGATTTATTATTTTTTTGCCGAGCAAAATGCATTTTTCAGCTGAGCCTGAATTCCGACGCATTTGTAAATACAGTTCTTATTTTGTATTGTTAATTGGAACATCCTACCGATTAGCCAGTACAGATTTCGCAATTTAAGACCTAACTGCTTTCTCTTGTAAAAAATATGTTTCTTCCAGGTCATTCTTCTGTCCAAGTGGATACCAAGATAAAAACAATATTTAAATATTAAGCGTATAAAAAATTTAACAGATTAATAGCCTTTTTTCACGCACCCTGTATATATTTTATATTTTTTTTGGTCCCGCCTACTTTTAGCCCAAACTAGCTCCATCTCTCACGGACCTCTCTCTTTATCATTGGGAACGCTGAATAACCTCAAAATACCGATTGTGCCGCGTCCATACTTAATAGGTCTATGGATAGGGAGTATTACCTGATCGTCAAATTGTCCGGGATACGTATTGAATTCGCTAATAAAACGTTCTAAACCTCTTAAAATTACGTAGTAAAACATTAAACTATCCGGATCTTCGAGGTAAAACGAAAGGTCCAGCTGTGTTCGTTCGTATTCGTCCGCTATGCAACTACCTCTGATTACTTTGAGTTCACCGGCATGTCTGCATAGGAGCTTCACCTAAAAACCACACGATTTTAGATCGATCCACAACACTAATCGTAGAGCTTTCGTACTTCGTTTTGAGTAATGGTATCTAGAGGAAGGCCCAAATCTCGAGCTATGTCGGAGGCTTTTCTGTAAATGACTTCGGCTTGCGTTTCCGCGTGACGGTTATACAATTGTTGCAATGCTATGTAACTTGTGGTATCGGCTGCCATATCTGGCAAGCTTCCTCTGATCGGCAGGGATCCTTCGCATTCCACGAATTCCCTTAAAGCGGCGCACATAATCCAAAACGAAGAACTATTTTGGGTGATATTCTTGCAACAATCGTCATCCAAAACTTTCTAAAAAAAAAAGTCGAATACAGTGCTAAAGAACTCTGTAAAAAATACTGTTAACGAACCTGTACATCACGGGGAATTACGGGGTGTTTCAAGCAAGTGTTAATAAAGCGGATAGCTTCTTCGAAGTTTTCTTCTAAAATTCTAGTGCTACCCTCGTCGGCCACCGGACTATCTCGAATCATCTTCCTGAGCGCCTCTTTCTCTTGTCTGGTTTGGGGAATTTGACCACCGTTTAGTTCTTTGTACTTCGATAAATAGTAGTATAAAATGATGAGAGAGGGCGTGTGGCTGCGAGTCTTCGGGTCCAACATAGCCACGTCTATGTTCTCGAGATGCTCTTTTAAGGAACGCCATGGGGTTAAAAGGCGAAGATCCGGATTTTCGCTGTCCGGATGAGCTTCGATTACCGTGTGTTCTTTGATTTGCAGTCGAATGTAACCGAGAAATCCTATGCTTCGACAGACTACGAACGGAACATCAGATTCCCAAAGGTGCTTCGATAGAGGTATTAAAACTCTAAAATTATATAATATCTCAAATTGGCAACACGATACTTTCACTAAATGAGATAAAAACTCATGAGATTCAATTATTATATATTAAGAATAAAATGTATGTTTAACAAGTTATATTTTAGATTTTTTCTTCAAACTCTCCAAATAAACCCCGAGTGACTGTTGTATAGCTGGTAGAGAGGCCATCGTTACGAAATTCCTCAGGTCTTCCTCCCTGTTTTTAACCATCGGTTCGACGGTTTCCTGACGCACCAACTTCTTAGTTAGAGCTCTGGCATGTGGCGGAATCCTCTTAAACGTATTCAAAAAGGCTTCAGCTCGAGCAGCCGCTTCTTCTTTACCTTGCACAGCTTCATCAATCAAGCCGATACTCAATGCTTCGTCTGTCGTAAGCATTCGACCGACTGTTAAGGCTCTCTCCGCTTGTCTGTGGCCAATGACGTTCTTCATGGACGAAATGAACCAACTAGGAGCGACGATGCCCAGTTGGGTTTCGTTCAAGCCGATGGTGCAGTTCTTGTACATCACCCTGTACTCGCAGCATAGGGCTAGCAAACAACCTCCGGCCGGAGCGTGGCCGTTAATGAGAGCAACGGACGGGAACGAGCAACTGTACAGTTTGATCCAGGTATCTTGCAAGGCGGTCCAGAATTTTTTCAACCTGTCCACGTCGGGTTTGTACATTTCCATGATGTCCAGACCGGCCGAGAAGACGCCATCTTTGCTCGAAGTAAGTATCAGACCTTTGGATTTGTTCGATTCGAGTTCGGTCAACGAAGAGGATATTTCGGACAGGAGCTCCAGATTCAAGCTGTTTACTGGGGGTCTTTGCATGGCCAGAGTGGCCACTCCAGTTTTATCGTCAACACTCACAGATACTAATTTAGCATCTTTGCTAAATCGTCTCGCACCAATTTTGGAAATGTTCGATTTAAGTAAATACCTCAAAGCCATTTTCGAATATTATCTGAACTTCAAATGCTCAATTTTATAACTGATAAATAGTTCAAAAGCAAAGTCTAAACTAAATTAAAAACAGGTAATTGAATCAAAACATTTACGAGCAATATAAAAAAACACATAACCTACAGTGCCAACTAAACAAACACCTGGACAAAGTCCACAACTATCTTCTTATTTAGAACAGATTAGAACTTAGAATTTGGTCTATTACCTGATACGATTTTAGACACATTTAGACACAAGCTACAATTTAATTACTAAATTATACTCACTTTTCAGGCAAGGATGTTGCAATAACGACTGTGAATTTGTTAAAAAAGTCCTGTGTATGAGACATAACATGTTCAGGAGACTCATCGATATAATCACCTCTTACATCTGGATTATGTTCTAATAAACATTGAGTAGCCACTTGGGCCCTCGATAGGCCAATACTGTCGCTTTCTAAGAAGAAACTGAAATAAATTAGTCTCTTGTACAAATTGTACGTTACTCGTAATTCATCATTTACTTTGAACCGATATCTTCTTCAGTAACTTTTTCTCCATCTACAATAGTGAACGATCCTATGCCCGGTAGAATTAGACTTTTTAAGATTTCAGTTCCTAAAGCAGTGGCATTTATGAGACAAACTTTTGAATTCTCTAGTAGTTTTTGTCCGTGATCGCCCCATAACCTGCAAAATACCGAAATCACATAAAAAACCGGTTTGGTTTCGGTTACTAGATAAAAATACCTCAATTGCCTGTCGTATTTTTTGCTTTTATCTGATTGTTCCGGTGATTTTGGAGCTGGAGAAGACATTTTCAAAACTTATAAATAAATAAAGTCGATTTGAAAATAAACAATACAACAATGACAAGAATGACATCTGACAATAGAATTGTTGATGTTTCATGTCATCTTTTTGATAATCGGATCTTGATTAGAAGGTCATTTGGCTCTTACTTCATAATAAAAGAGAAGAATTATATCAAAAGTGGTCTGTTGCATTTAAGGAATTTCTAAACAGTTAAAATTTTAAAGTTTAAAAAGCAAACGAATTATCACATTGTTTCAGTACAAAATTCATAAAGTATATTACTATCATTCACAACAAGGAACAAAGCTATAATAACGATCGCCTTCCTTTAAAATTTCCACCAAGGAATCCAATGTTTCCAATCCGGTAGGTATAATTTGGCTAGCTGGTAAAATAAATCCATTTTTCCCTGTATCGCGCAGCTCGAAAGTTAAAGCAATTGGAACATTGAACGTAGCTTTAACCCAGTCCATAGTGTTTCCAGTTGCGGGGTCTAAAAATTAAATATTTAAAAAACGCCGGAGAAAAAGTAGATGATTGCTCACAAATTATTTCCGCAATATTTCCCACGACGTATTTCGTTCCATAGCGTTGAGCTAATTTTTTAGCTGCTTTCAATCCGATTGACTTCTGCACAAAGATAATAAAAGTATTTCGTTACTAATACGGTATAATAACGGTATAATATCATAAAATCAGTATACCAAATACTCACAACTTCATCATAGTTATCCAAGTGCTCTTTCGTATGGCCATATGGAAGAAGGATCATTTGAGAATACGAATGAAAGCTAATAAATGCTTTCAGTTTGTGAGCAATAGTGCTGAAATATGCACTCAAACTTTTGGTTTCTATTTCGGAGAACGCATTCGTACCAACGTAAACATCAGAGCATGGATTGATATTAGATCTGTCCCCAGTATTCCATTTGTAACCCCAATTCCTGTTCAAATCAACACCATAGCACGATCCTATTTTTCTCCTGTTTTTCCGCCACAGCCGATCCTTCAATATTTCCATACAAAAGCTGCCGGTACCTCAATAATATTTTTTAAGGTAATTTTACTTACAGTAGTGTGACTGTACTCGTAACCATCTGGATTAACGACAGGAAATATATACCAATCGTGATTTTCAGCCACTTCTCTAACCTTGGGATCCTTACTCGTCAGTAATTGGTTCAAAATGAATGTAGTAGTTGCTCCGCTGATCCTGAAAGATTTGTTTCTCATGAAAATACGTCTAAACGACTTTTATTCGACTCTATACGTCGAACGGGGGAAGCGCTTAAACGCAAAAAGCTTTTGCGATTCGCTTTTATAATTTTCTAATTTAATAACAAAATTCGAAAGGAACTTGTCGACTTGAAAGGGAAAGGGAAAGGAGAAGTTTAGTTTACCATTCGCGAGAGTGAATCAAAGAATGGAGCCACACTCCTCTTTTTTCATTTCCCGATTGGAACGATACTTTCACTCCCGTTATCTTTCGCCCTTGGTAGGTCTTTCCCCCTTCGATAATCGAGACTATTCCCGGGTATTGCCGAGTGAGGTCGTAAAGCCATATGTATATCTGAAGAAAACAAGGTTTTTCAATTGATGGGATGGGGAAAACCGCTTAAATATTTACCTGATTTGTCCTATGATAAGCGTTCCAACTCATACCATTTTTCGTAATTTTCGTAAGTTGTGCATTTAATCTTGTTTCTTCATCAATTTTGTGTTGAACGTTTTCCATTAGTACTTCATAGTTCATTGAATTGTTGAATATCATTTTCTTGAAATTTTCTCTTTGTTGTGGCGGTATTAATATATCTACAGATATATTAACATCCCTAGGAAACGTCCAAAAATCGTATTTATCCGAAACAGAGTTTTCTATGTCAGTTAGAAAGCGGACATCATCTTTGTTTTTGGGAACGAATCTGTAGAGGGAGAATTTATCGTAACTCATCGAAGATGATACAGATATAATAGCTGCTAAATACACGAGTAGGCTCATTTTGATTCTCTATAAAATAAAATTTAATTTTTTTAATAATTCGATATAATAATTTTATCATATTTACACAACACTAATAGTATAGTAAGTACTTACCGATTGTATTCACTACCTTTTTTATAGGTACAAAATGATATAAAAAATTCCTATCACGTCTTTAACAAAACTAATAGTCTCACCTTGATAAATCGCTTTGTACTAATGTTAATTCATACTTATACGAGTATTGCCCATAGTTGACTGCTGACGAGAGTCATCACAAATTTTATATAAATTCCCAACATCCTTTGTTTTATACCACTAATTATTTATTAAAATATTTCTTTCGTTTCGCGGCGATGGTAAATATTTTAAACTTAAAGTAAAGCGTGTCGCCGTGCAAATAAAATGAGAAATTGAGAAAATTTAGGTTGCGACCAACATACAACGTTACTCGAAATACGATCAAACCTGCCAAACAATATGTTTAGTACATTATTAATTATGCTTGAAGTGATAATTTATTATTCAATTATCTTTGCATTTTATTATTGCAATTATTTACCATTTTCTGCTTTGTGATCAAAGTAAATTAAAAGAACCTATACCAACCAAATAGGGAAGAATATATTTTATTAGCGCAAATTAACAGAAAATGTTAGCGAAATTGCCTTAATTATTCGGATTAATCATAAATAAGTATGTGTAGCATTGCTAAACAATTACTGATGTGTAACAATTTAAAAATTAAGAACATAAGCGAGTATAAAGAAGAATATTATCATTTCCTGTTTCCATAAATTCCTAATCGATATATTTATCAGCTTCTTTCAATATAGTGATTATGGAATCTAAAGTTTCTTCTCCTGTTGGAACGATTTGGTCTGTAGGTAGCACAAAACCATAGTATCCTTTATCACGAAGCTCATATGCATATACAAAAGGTACGTGATAATTGGCTTTCAACCAGTCCAAATTAGTTCCTGTAGCCCTATCTAGAACAAACAAAACGTTAGTAATAGAACACTTTAAAACGCTCTAAAAATGTCTTACAAATGACTTCAGCAATATTCCCAACAGTGTATTGTGTTCCATATTTTTGAGCTAAGGACGCAGCTGCTTTCAATCCAACTGGGTACTAAAATTTTAATTAATTCACCACCGAATTTTATAATTTCAAAAAGTCAAACTCACTGTTATATTATAGTTATCCAGGTGAGCTTTCGTATCACCATAAGGTACCAACATTAATTGCGAATAAGAATGGAAAGTGATGAAAAGTTCCAACTGCTTGGCGACTCCTTTCATATATTCTGAGAGACTTCGGGTTTCAATTTCAGAAAAAGGTTTAGGGCCGTCGTACTCCTCATCGCAAGGATCACTCCAGGTTACTCCATCCTTCCATTTGTAGTCCCAGTTTCTGTTCGGGTCTGCTCCAAAGCAGTCTCCATAAGGTGTTCTCGTCTTACGCCACATACGATCCTGAAGAAACAATTCGAATACAAATGGTCGTTAAAAATATTTATTTGTAAACGCACGTAGGAATGAGTAAAAGCATATCCATCGGGGTTAATAACCGGGAAAATGTACCAATCGTGAGACTCAGCAGTGCTTCTTATGGTAGAATTGGTGCTGGTTAACAGCTGGTTCAAGATGAAGGTTGATGTAGCACCAGTAATCCTGTTATAAAAGAAAAAGCATGTTAAATAATATCCTATAGGGTTAGTTAAGGAATTACCATTCTCTAGCGTGAATTAGCGAATCGATCCAAACAGTTTTGTTTTCATTTCCTGGACGGAAAGATACTTTAACCCCCAAAATTTTACGTCCTTCGTAGGTGGAACCACCGTTAACCAGCGTGACTTTATCTGGATAAGTTTTGGTCAGTAACATGAGCCAGTCATTAATCTAAAAACAATGAAAATTAATCAATTATAACTATTGTAATTTAAAATTAACCAACTTCTTCTAAGGTATGGTACTGCGACCAATTGAAATCTTCAGTACTTAATTTAGATTGTTCATTAGATAATTTCTCTTCGTCGATTCGGCTTTGCACATTTTCAATCATAACATCGTATTTTATCTGGTGCCTTTTAAAAGTATCCTGTACGTACTGTTTCCCTTCAGGAGGTACCATAATATCTACTGGTATTCCCATTTTTTTGGGCTTCGTCCAAAAATCTAGTCGGAATGTAAAGTCATGTTGTAAGGATTTTAAAGTCGCCAATTGATCCTCATTTTCAGGAATTGCTTTATAAACCGTATAATCGTCGTATTTCACAAAGTCCCCTCTGGCGAATGCCAGAAGACCCAATGGTATCAACAGTACCAATTTCATTTTGTTCTAAAATATACAGAGTTGGGCAAAAGTCCGGAATAAAATTATTATCTGTTGAACCAGTAATTTAAACGAAAAACGCTGAAACACGTGAATTGATTTTATATTGGACGGATTTGTTGCAAATAAAATGATTTTTTTTTCTTCAACCCCTTAGTTGCCACCCTACCCAACTTATTTTTTTCAAATGCAAAGGTATGTCGTGTGTAGGGTCATTGAAAAGCCCGTGAAAAATGGAATCTAAAACCTACCTTTTTTTTATTTTTTCTCATGTTGTTATTTGGAAATGGGCAAAAATTTCTTTTAAAAACAAAAAAGTTACAAATACTTTTTTAGTGCTATCGACGTAGCAATGTTGAAAATGTCCTCCACCATCTACTTGACAGGCTCCCAGGCATTGGTAAAACGTAATATCGATAGCATATCTTTAATTCTAAATGACTTTTTAATAAAAACATGCGAACCTTAGGTAAAAAAAAACTTGTACAAAAATGCAACATCTTTTTTCCTTTTTAAAGTTCACTGATAAACAATGGCTTAAAATTAAACCCATTTTATATTTTAGTGTTTTCTTAAAACATAAATTTCAACGAATGTTGAAGTCAATAAAATTTGGTGTGCTGTTTGCCCAGGCTCGCCTGTTTTTAATAAAAATTCATTCAGTATTAAAGATAGGCTGCCGATATTAGGTTTTACCATCGCCTTGGAGCCTGTTAAGTAGAGGGTAGAGGACATTTTTAACATTTCTACATCGATAGCACTAAAAAGATAATTGTAACTTTTTTGTTTTTAAAAGGAATTTTTGCCCACTTCCAAATAACAACATGAGACAAAATAAAAAAAAGGTATGTTTTAGATTCCATTTTTCACGGGCTTTTCAATGACCCTACACACGACATACCTTTGCATTTGAAAAAAATAAAGTTGGGTAGGGTTGCAACTAAGGGGTTGAAGAAAAAAAAATCATTTTATTGGCAACAAATCCGTCCAATATAAAATTAATTTACGTGTTTCAGCGTTTTTTGTTTAAATTAATGGTTCAACAGATAATAATTTTATTCCGGACTTTTGCCCAACCCTGTATATTTCACATTAATCTACAAATGTAATTTAGAGAAATATTTCACTTATACTTACAGTGTTTTTTATTATCTAACAATTTCGTATGTTTTTTAGCATTGATATATATATATATATATATATATATATATATATATATATATATATATAGACTCTGAAATATCTCTGAAGTTTTATTAATTTATGTTTTTGGGGAAAAACAATTAATTTAAATAAGATAATACGAAGATATCGAAGTATTTTTGTAAAATACATATCTGTTTTATATTAAGAACTTGATAAAAATTTACTTATCGCATATTCCTATCAATTCAGATTTATCTCAAACAAACTAAATAGTACTCGATTAGGGGAAATAATTATTTCAGAAATCCACTCATTACTATTGTAATTCACAGCCTTCAAATTAGTAATCAATGCATGCTTTGTCTTAATGAAGATTCGTCCTGATAATAATTTTTACTTCAACCAATTTGTTATTTGCATGATCATGTAAGAGGGTTTGCTTTTCTAATGAACTAGTCTAGAAAAATGAGCTGGGCATCCATCGGGTTGGAAATACATATTTCTTCGAGTGTCCAGACGAACATCTTCCAATAACCCAGGAAATTCGTTACGAAGAAACTTTAGATATGTTTGCCCGTTGAGTCCATTAATAAACCAGGGAACAACAACTGTCACCTAGTATACCACACCACACGTTGATACCAACGTCCTTAATTATTCTGGATCTGCTGCGTCCAGTTTTTTGGTTTATTTATTTTCCACGGCATGGTTATTTCTTTTGTTCTTAATTAGTGCGTATAGAAGGGAAATCCAAAAATTATTGAATGAATATTACTTAGCTTGGTGTTTCTAAATATCATCGTTAAAGATTATTAGTAAATTGATTATTTTTGTGGATGGAACAACGCTAATTAGAGACTTTTATATGGGTAGTGCACCAAAAATTTCCAATTTTCTTGATTTTTTTCTTTTTTAGATATATTTTAAGTTAGGAAGGGAATATCGAGATGCAGTTTTAACAGGCTTGTTTGGCAATTATTTGACTATTTTTCTCCAAAGAAAAAGTTATTATGTTGCTTTTAAATTTTTTGAGAAAATCGGTGTTTTGAAGTAATCAGTAATGTCTAAAAACGCCATCTTGGGACAAGCATGGGACAAGCTTGGAACGCCATCTTGGGACAAGCAATCAATTAAAATAATATCTTGTATAGTGTAAATTATAGATCAAAGGAAGCCCTTTTCAACAATTTTATTTTTTTGAAAATCGGTTTAGCCGGTTAAAAGTTATTAACATTTATTTGTCAAAATATTCAAACCACCCCCACCACTTTATCTTAAAAGATAGAGTCAAAAATATAAAAAATAATCGAAATTATCTTAACTATCAAAATAAAATACATTTTTGATACAATTATTTAGGAAAATTTTGAAAAAAATGACTTTTAAAAATCAAGAGGGCGGATACTCCCTCTAGCGGCCATTTTAGAGACCTAAAAATTATTTCCAGTATTTTCTTTTGGCCGATATAGTCATAGGATTTTTTACCGCAAGTCTCTACGACAATTATTTTGCGAGATATGGCCGAGAGTCATTCTTAGAGGACCACCCTGTACATTATTAATTATGCTTGAATTATGCTTGATTTATTATTCAATTATCTTTGCATTTTATTATTGCAATTATTTACCATTTTCTGCTTTGTGATCAAAGTAAATTGAAAGAACCTATACCAACCAAATAGGGCAGAATATTTTTTATTAGCCCAAATTAACAGAAAATGATAGCGAAATTGCCTTAATTATTCGGATTAATCCTAAATAAGTATAGTATGTGTGGCATTGCTAAACAATTATTGATGTGTAACAATTTAAAAATTAAGAACATAAGCGAGTATAAAGAAGAATATAATTATCATTTCTTGTTTTCATAGACTCCTAATCGATATATTTATCAGCTTCTTTCAATATAGTGATTATGGAATCTAAAGTTTCTTCTCCAGTTGGAACGATTTGCTCCGTAGGTAGTAGAAAACCATATTGACCTTGATCACGAAGCTCATATGCATATGCAAAAGGTACGTGATAATTGGCTTTTAACCAGTCCATATTACTTCCTGTAGCCACATCTAAAACAAACAAAACATTATTAATGGAACACATTAAAACGCTTTAAAAAAACTTACAAATGATTTCAGCAATATCCCCAACACTGTATTGTGTTCCATATTTTTGAGCTAAGGACGCAACTGCTTTCAATCCAACAGGGTACTAAAATTTTAATTATTTCACCACCGAATTTTATAATTTCAAAATGTCAAACCCACTGTTATATTATAGTTATCCAGATGAGCTGTCGTATGACCATAAGGTATCAACATTAATTGCGAATACGAATGGAAAGTGATGAAAAGTTCCAATTGCTTGGCGACTCCTTTCATATATTCCGACAGACTTCGGGTTTCAATTTCAGAAAAAGGTTTAGGGCCTGCGTACACATCACTGCAAGGATCATTCGTGGATCCTCCATCGCTCCATTTGTAGTCCCAGTTTCTGTTCGGGTCTGTTCCAAAGCACCGTCCATAAGGTGTTCTCGTCTTACGCCACATACGATCCTAAAGAAACAATTCGAATACAAATTGTCGTTAAAAATATTTATTTGTAAACGCACGTTGGAATGAGTGTAAGCGTACCCATCGGGGTTAATAACCGGGAAAAAGTACCAATCGTGAGACTCAGCAGTGCTTCTTATGGTAGAATTGGTGCTGGTTAAAAGCTGGTTCAAGATGAAGGTTGATGTAGCACCAGCAATCCTGTTATAGAAAAAGCATGTTAAATAATTCTATACAGGGTGTCCCTGAAAGTATGGGAAATCTCTCGGATCCATATAGAACATAAATAAAATTTAATATGATAGACACTACTGAGGGCCTCAAAAATTAGTGTCCTTGAAACATATTTAGCTTTTTTAGTTTACTAGGGCCTGGCTAAGGCTTACACCTTATTGCCTAAATTTTCAACACCCAGTATGATAAAGACACTATGGGGCACTACCGTTTCTGGTTTACAAGTACTGGTTTACTCATTTATTATTGTTTTTCTCCCAAACGGTTGATTTTATCGACAATTGAGCGAAGTATATTTTCTTTAATTTAAAATTCAAGCTTTCCAGATTTATGTTTTTAAGTATTTATCATACAGCGTGTTGAAAATTTAGGTATTAAGGTGTAAACCTTAACCCGGCCCTGGTAAACGAAACAAGTTAAATATGTCTCAAGGACACTCTTTTGTGAGGTCCTTACTAGCTATCATATTAGATTTTTGTTAAATTATATCAAGAACTTTATAAGATATTTAAGGAAAACCTATTTCCAGCGACGCACTTCAAGGACGCATATCTTCGTAGGGGCTATAGGTAAAAACTTTATAGTAACTTCTCATCTTATTATTATCTTATGTTCTATATGGAACCGAGAGATTTCCCACACTTTCAGGGACACCCTGTATAGGGTTAGTGAATGAATTACCATTCTCTAGCGTGAATTAGCGAATCGATCCAAACAGTTTTGTTTTCATTTCCTGGACGAAACGATACTTTAACCCCCAAAATTTTACGTCCTTCGTAGGAGGAACCACCGTTAACCAGCGTGACTTTATCTGGATAAGTTTTGGTCAGTAACATGAGCCAGTTATTAATCTAAAAACAATGAAAATGAATCAATTATAACTATTGTAATTTAAAATTAACCAACTTCTTCTAAGGTATGGTACTTCGACCAATTGAAATCTTCAGTACTTAATTTAGATTGTTCATTAGATAATTTCTCTTCGTCGATTCGGCTTTGTACATTTTCAATCATAACATCATATTTTATCTGGTGCCTTTCAAAAGTATCCTGTACGTACTCTTTCCTTTCAGGGGGTACCATAATATCTACTGGTATTCCCACTTTCTTGGGCTCCGTCCAAAAATCTAGTTGGAATGTAATGTCATGTTGTAAGGATTTTAAAGTCGCCAATTGATTTTCATTTTCAGGAATTGCTTTATAAACCGTGTAATCGTCGTATTTCACAAAGTCCCCTCTGGCGAATGCCAGAAGACCCAATGGTATCAACAGTACCAATTTCATTTTGGTCTAAAATATATATTTTACATTAATCTACAAATGTAATTTAGAGAAATATTTCACAATATAATAGTACTTACAGTGTTTTTGTATTATCTAACAATTTCGTATGTTTTTAGCATTGATATAGACTCTGAAATATCTCTAGATTTATTATCATTTAATTTTTTGAGGAGAAACAATTAATTTAAATAAGATAATACGAAGATATCGAAATATTTTTATAAAATACAGGTCTGTTTTATATTAAGAGCTTGATAAAAATTTACTAATCGCATATTCCTATCAATTTAGATTTATCTCATACAAAACAAATAGTACTCGATTAGGAGAAACAATAAATTCAGAAATCCACTCATTACTATTATAATTCACAGCCTTCAAATTAGTAATCGATACCTTATCTTAATGAAGGTTCGTCCTGATAATAATTTTTACTTCAACCAATTTGTTTCACCATTTGCATGATCATGTAAGAGCGTTTGCTTTTTTATTTTCCCCAAGCCCCGAACTCGAGTAATGGATAAGAATTTGTTACCAAGTTAGACTCTTAATGTCAACACACAATTTAACTTTCGCCATTAATACGTAGCTTTTAATGGAAAAAGTGTCATGAACAGGCCTCGCAAAAAAACGATACAAATAGAGAGGGTGACATAAAGTTGAAGCGAATTTAACAACTTAATTGTTATAATTATAAAAGAAGTTTAAATCGCCAACGAACGTCCTACGTAAAAATTTAATTATCTGTTGGATAGAGTTTGTTAAAAGCTTGATTTAATTAATAGAAAATTTTTACGGTTATTTTTACGTAATTCGCGAATTTTATATGGAATTTTTTTGAATTTTGAATTCTATATGGATCAAACTCATGTAAAACATAGACATTAAAATACCTACATTACATAGAAGTATGCTATTTTTATGCATGTTTGTAGAACCTGTAATAAACCAACTCCATCTCAGGAGTCAAGCTCCTATAATTTTTTTAATTTTAATCGGATTTTTATGAAATTAAAGGGTGTTTGTTTCGAGTTGAAAGACATTTATTCAAGAGACTTCAATCAATTAATTTCCACTAATAACTTTCTAATATTTATTTACGCGATTTGGTACAACCCACCGAACAACCCCCTGTACGTGGGGGTAGATGTTGCGCGTGTGGGGATTTTCAAGCAACAGGCTTGTAGGCGAAGACCGCTGGAAATTTCATTAGATTTTCAGTTGTGCTTCGGTCGGCGTTGCACCTCGATCGCATCGGTTTTCCATCGACTAGGCGGCCCGACGCTCGTCGGAAAACTCTTCCGGTGCGGAAGAAGCCGGAAAAGAGGCGGTAAGGGAAAACGAATCTCATATTTTTATACGTTGGAGGGTTTATTTTATTACGGTTTTTCTTGATTATTTTTTACAATTTTCTTCGCAATTATTAGTTATGAAAAAATTATCTCGTAAGTGAAACATAAAAAATAATCGTTTGTTTATGTAATTATATTTTAAACAAACATACGTAGTACGTTTACAGGATTTCTTAGGAGTATTTATATTTATCCTGAAAATTCAATTACCTCACGAGCGTTTGAAAGAGTTTCTCATTTTTTTTTTGTAAATTCGTCTAAAGCGAAATCGATGCGAATGTGCTCATCACTCTGAACTAACTCGAAGCCGCCTTTAGCGAAGGTGTAGAGTTTTTTTTATATATTTATTGTTAAAAGGCACGTTTTGAATGCTTATCTGGATGTTTTACGTTTCTGTATATGGGATGTTGTGCGAAATAGGATTATCCATTGTGGGAGTTCGGATTCGAGGAAACAGCGATTATACGAATTTCAGATATCAGAAAACAATTTTAAAGCAAAGGAATTTCTAAAATAATTCTAGTAAGGATTTTATCGATTCTATTTTGTGACTAATCTTCAAACAAACCTGGAATAAACTATTTCAAAAATTATTATTTAAATAAATTGTTTCTTTCGCTTGAGAAATCAATTCAAATTACCAATATATTTTTATTGTCCTATAGGCGAGGAAAATTTATGTATTTTTTAAATCACTTATAGGCAATTAATTAAACTTTTAAAGTAATTAAATTTGCTTCGGATAATGTCGAATAGCTATTAACTTCGATGGCGATGGTTTGTACTCGGACCTCTTAAAACTTTTACAACTCATGAAAAGACCTTTTACGGTACTTATTACGTTAAAGTTCCGTACATATTGCATCCCAAGATTTGAAGTTAAGTAGAAAGTAAAAGACATTAAAATTCGTTACATTAATGGCATTCTTTTATTACCGTTTTCGAAGTATAAAAGAGGAGTTTAATTACTGGAGGGAGATTTTGAAAAATCGCCTTTACTGAAAATTTATTTTCATTACGTAATTTTCCGACAGTATGAAAACAAGTTTAGAACAAACAAACGCGGGTATATTTTTATTTTAACCATTCGTCTATCAAATTGCTAATTAATAATATTTGATGGATGATAAACGCTCTAAATATGCAGTTTATATTACAATAAATTAAAAATCTATAGTACACATTTCAATATAAACATCCGAAATGTTAAGCAACGAGGTTCGTTACGCAAACATAATAATTCAAAAAAATAATAACTCTTAAAAACCGTTTAATAATAATTCGATACAAACTCACGTACCGGTTAACTTTTTTCCATAACGAAGTAACCCGGAACACAAACACCCGAAATAGAAAATTATGGTTCTCCGTGTTCGGAATACAAATACAAATTTCCAGTAGTTTATCGAGCTTTCTCGTTGGAAACAACTTTACGAGTTGTTACAGAACTTTGCGTTTTTTTATCAACATTCCCCCGCAGTTCCTGCACAAATCAGAAGTGGCATAAAAAACGCATAAATAAAAGGTCGAAAAGGGCTTTTCTCGTGCAGCAGAAAAGGGATTCTTTCGCTTGGATCCGCATGTCCCAGGGATGATTTAAAAGGAATTAGCATAAATTCAGAATATCTGTAGGTATTATTCTTATACATATACACCATATAGATCAATTACACTATGGTATATTTTCCAAAAAGACACTTTAAGTAGTAGAAGAGGTTGTAATATCAATTTGATTTTTACAATATTTACTTTTACTTAAATATTCGTTTCTCATCGAGATCAATTTTATTATATACAAACATCTCCATAATTTCCTTTCTGTGGGCGAGTCGTGGGTGTTTTATTGAATACAATTCCTTCATAACAGCACCAAAATTTAGATATATAACGCATTTACCTTCGGATGGAAATAAATTTCCTGCAAGGAATATTTCCCGATCGATCCTTCGACAACGAAGTTTACAAGAGAATTGCATCTCTTGAAAGGTATAGCGAGTGAAATGCGTGATTCGAGTTCGGCATTCGCGCTATAGACAGTATTTCAGAATTTTTGTCACCGCGTGAAATATGACGAGACGACAGCCGAGCCGGCGAGAAAGAAAAACGAAAATGAATAGATTTACCTACCCCGAAAGAAGAAGAGGCGGAAAACGCAGGACAAGAACGTGATGTAATATTTTCTTCGTTATTAAGGACTATTTGGAATTTTGATGAGTGTATTATAAAGAAATCTTCCAATTACTTAGGTCTATGTTAGGAGAAACGTGGAAAATTTAGTTGATAAAAATTCAGTTGGAATATCAATCGTTGTTATTCGATATATCACGAGTATATCGCGTGTAATGCTGTTTCCTAAAAATTCTTCAATAACCCATCTCAATTTAGTTAATTATACTAGGTACTTGTATTGATTGTGGAATTCATATGCTGTTAAAACGTGACGAATGTAATGAACCAATTAAATTTACTAATATTCTCTTAATAGCAATAATTAATGACTGAAAGGCAAACGTTTAGATATTTCATGTTAACCCTCTTTGACCTGTTGCATTGGGGAGATTTATTCGATTCCCAAAAGTGTCTGGCTAATTTATATATGGAAGTCGCTTAATTTATTAAAGATACGACTATATTAAAAACATTCTCCATGTTTCCACGATTCCATTAAATTTCCCCAACTTCACTCGACTAGTCTACGAAGTTCGATCGACTAACTATACTATGTACACAATTGTACGAATTTATTTTTGATAAATTAATTATACAAGCACGTTTCTAGAATTGTTAACAAGCTGCGTTTAAAGTTACTGCCGTCAAAACAGATAAGGCTCGTGTATTGTCGACGAACTTTCGGGTCTACATTGAAGAAGAATGAAATACGCGATCCCGATAATAAACAAAGTTTACTCTAACAAATAAGTGATGAATTTAATTGGAAGACAACAAATTTGTCCTTTGCGCAAATTAACAGTTTCGTTAGACAGTAAACAAGAGGATATTGGATTAGACACGATGAATTATATGGCTACATTTTTTTGTTATGTTAGATGAGTTAGGGGGTCTACATAAATTCTAAACCTAGTGTTTTGTAGCGAATACTGCAAACATAAGGTTAAATGAGAATAAAAAATGATCATATTATAGAGAATTTTTGTCTTTGAACAAAAAATAGGGGTGTTTAACCCTCGAGATGACTGCTCTCCGATAACTTAAGGCAGTGGCCCTTTCTTCATTCTTTCCGACAATTTCGTTGTTCTCCCGAACAGTCGTTTAAATTTAACGTCAGAAATTTTGTACTTCCGCTGTTAAATTGAAACATCTGAGCCGCGTTTACTCGCTTTGAATTTTGAATAAAAAATTCCGCTGCGCGTTCTTCCCGAATGAAAATCCGCTTATTGCAAGGGGAGCGGGAATAAATTTCGGCGGAATTGTCGATTTCCCTCGAGCTACAGGCCGTTGCCGATTGAATTTCTACATAAGCCATTTCGGCAACTAGCTAATTGCGCGATTACAACTTTAATTTAGCGCCGAATCACGATCGGAACAAATACAAATGCCTCCATTTGTCTTGTTATTGTCGCCGACACCATCGACGACAAAGGTAATTGTGACGGCGCGTCCCGTTTTCCCGGCGATATTTTTCCTTTTGTTCTTCCTGCTGGTCCAGACTTGCTGGAAACATTCGCCGGCGACTTACAAATAAGTTGATGCAATTAGCACTGTCGCATCGAGATTTAAAATAAAATGATTACGAGAATACGAGGTTCGCTTCGTGAACTGCTCTTAGTTTACGGCGTTATTTACTCGACGAATTTTTTCATTGTTGGATTTCATAAAACTTTTAATTGCCAATTAAATCTTGATTGACGTATCAACGCAATTAGTACCTACCTAAGTATCTTTGGTAAACATTTGGTTTTTTTTTTCAACATAAACTTTTCCTCGCGACATCTAAGGGAAGCGTGTTTCAGCCGAGATAAGTTCGTAATAGAAAGGTAAAATATCGCGGTAGAAACGGGCTTTGTGATCATATAACCCAAAAGGCGGGGAATGAGATCATCAATCAATTTTATTCAACCTAACAAAAATAATCGCAAACGGGCGATAATTTTCCTCTATTTACAATCTCAATATTATTAGAACCTTTCGTAAAACAACGATAATATAGCAATGTTTGTGAATATACATAAATAACGTTCAATAATTGAATTGTTTAAACAAGAACAACTGGAAATATTCCAGCAGTTAATTATCGGCACAAAGGAAATAAATTTACAAGAAACCTACTACAAATACAATATTGCCTTATGCAGTGTACAATGACTAGGCAAATGTGAACGGATAACATAAAAATTCATTTTGTTTTGAGAAAACAACCTTCTTCTAAACCTTATTGAATACCTACGTCGTGGTTTCTTTTACGCTTTAGAATTGAATTTTGTTAAACTGAAATTGTTTTTTTTATTACAAAGAATGTATTCAAGGGTTTCGAGATTTGCTCAAACAATGTCTACCTAAATTTTCTCCTTATAAAAGAGAGTTGAATGAACGGTATCTACAAGGATTGCATAAACAGGTGTTTTACATGTAGTATAAATATAAGAATGTTGAGGGAATAGTCATTTTATCTTAAGCTCTTCCATTTTATCCATTTTTTTACCCCAAAAAGATATAGTTAATGAATAATTACCAAAATAATTAAGCAGGACCTACCTTTTAGTAAAAGGTTTTTTTAACTCGGTGATTCACTTTAGGTCTAATAAAAATTTCCTGTGCGAAATTTCCCTCTTAACATCGTCGATAACATTTTTTTTTCCTGCTTCTAACACTCTAAAAGCCACTTAATGCCTTAGGTATCATTAACGTTTTATGCAAACAACCGCTCTGTTATACCACCTTTTTCGATTCGCAATTCCAAAACAATATATCCTATCGTTTGAAAAATCCCCCTTTTTTCATTATACCATCCACAATAATT